GATGCTCAGATTTTAGTTTTATAAATAAATTTGACTTGACGTGTCTATTTCTCAGGTCTTAAAAGGGTTAAATGACAATTTAAACGACTTAATCCAACAGAGTCGATTTAAATGACTTTGTTGGATATTCTACCTGGATTATTGAGCATGAACTTTGATGTTTTGAACCACTTTCGCTATGGCTGCCTCACAGGAGTTTACGGGGGAGAGGGCGGGCCCCAGAAACCATCTTGTCACCATCAAATTGGTTGGTCCTCTATGTGTGTGTGCTGCTTGTGAGACTGAGTTTGTTGTGGCTCCTCGGACTGATGAAGTCCTCTGGATGAAGGATGAAACGTCTCCACAACAACAAAAGAAGCCGTCCAGATGACCTGACTGAACCTTGTTGGGTTAAACAATGATTTTTTTCTTGATCTTTGCTTATTTAAATGAGGAAACTGAAAGTTTATTTACCTGAAAGTGATATTTTACTGACAGAATCCAGGTTTGTTTACGGAGCGATCAACCTCAGATTAATTACAGAAACAGCTTCTTTTCTGTTACTCTGAGTTCGTAAATTGTCACTAAATGTGTCTTTTTTTTTTTAACTGTTTTTTAATTTGAAAAACATTAATCCATAAAATGTATTTAAAGTTTGAATCAGCTTCATAGATGTGAATTAAGGATCAATAAATATATATTTGTGCTAACGGCTGATTGTTCCACCTCCTCTGACAGGCCCACCTGCAGCCTCCTTCATCATGACTAAAGAGGAGAATCTGCAGGAGCAGGAGAAGGAGAGACACAACCAAGAGGAGCAGGAGGAGGGCCGGGTTCAGAGAGACGAGGAGGAGGCGCAGACTGAAGAGGACGAGGAGGACGAGGAGGAAGAAGAGGAGGAATATGAGTTAGAGGAGGAGAGGGCGGAGGTGGAGGATGAGGAAGAGGCTGAGCAGGAAGAGGAGCGGGAGGATCAGGAGGTTGAGGAGGAGCAGGATCCGCCGGCTGAACCAGTGCAGGAGCCGACCCCCGTGTCCGAGTTCCAGAGTCCAGTTGATGAGCCGCCCCGCCGGGCCATGGTGCACCCCTCAGCCCAGGCGCCGCTGCCCAAAGACTACGGTACGTCAGACCACCTTAAATCCACCTTAAATCCCATCTCAGTCTCAAACTCCTGACTTCATCATGAGGCTGTTGGACCAACTCTGCTCAGCTGTTTAACGTGACAGGGTTCAGTGACAGGTCTGAACCGGGCCTCTGTCCAGAACTGTAATCTACAGTCAGACCACCTTAAATTGAAGCGTAAACCTTTGAGTTTCCTGTTGACCGACGGCCTCCTGAGGTGATTGATGTCAAAGTTTTTTGTCAGTGACAGAAAATCTGCTCCAGAGCTGCTGACCTGCAGAAACAGAACCTGCAGAACCTGCAGAGCTCAGGTTGGTTCTGATTTGATGACGGTGACAGAGACTTCAGGACATCACCATCCACACTGATCGTTTTCCCTCCTTCCTGTTTGTGTCTCCGGTTGTTAACTCGTTCTGGATGCTTCTGTCTCCAGGGTTCACCTTCTTTGACCCAAATGACCCGGCCTGTCAGGAGATCCTCATGGACCCGCGGACCACTGTCCCTGAGCTCTTCGCCATTGTCCGTCAGTGGGTTCCTCAGGTGCAGCACAAGATTGACGTCATTGGGAACGAGGTGAGGACACACACATAAACCCCACGTCTTTGTTTCTTATCAGCTTTTCAGTTTTTTGAAGTTCTTAAAGTCCTACACCCACCCGTTCTTCATATTTCTTCTCCAGCAGAACACGAGAGAGACAACAAAACAAATACCTGTGCTCTGTGGCAGACGAAGAAATTCAAACAGGTTCTAAAAAAATTTCTGATGATTTCGAGCTGTTCAGTCACAGCTTTGGAAACAGTCCCTTCACTTCCATATATGGAAATATGAAAATGTTTGATTGAGTCTCTTTAACGTCCAACTTCATCTGTTGGTTTGAACTTCTGACATGAAAGAACAGGAACAAACTCTCAGGGACTGTCAGGAGGTGCAGTAAAACTACTGGCAAAGTTCTACAGAACCTCACTGGCCTACAGAACTTCACTGACCTACAGGACCTCACTGACCTACAGGACCTCACTGACCTACAGAACCTCGCTGACCTACAGGACCTCACTGACCTACAGGACCTCGCTGACCTACAGGACCTCGCTGACCTACAGGACCTCAGTGACCTACAGGACCTCAGTGACCTACAAAACCTCACTGACCTACAGAACCTCACTGACCTACAGGACCTTGCTGACCTACAGGACCTCAGTGAC